TCCCAGTGTAAAACAGTAAACTTTATTTATATGTATATTTTTCTTTTGTTTTGTATAGGCTGGCCTTTAATTCCTATGATCCTCCTGCTTCTGCCTCCTGAGTGCTGCGATTACAGATGTGCATCACCACCCCTGGTTTTACGTTATGTGCATTTAATCACATTAAGAATTACTCAAAAAATTAAAAACCTGTTTATAAACTATATATACATATACATATACATATCTCAAGTGAGTAGGAACTGGAGTATGCTGTTTGCTTTTAGCAATCAATAGTGGAAGGAAAGGACACTAAGAAAGAGCTTAGTTTCCATGTGGAGGAAGAAATATTCTTTGACAGGAAGTTAGAGGTAACACAGATACTAGTAAATGGTCACAAATCAAAAGTGGCCCATAAAAGTAGTAAGAACTGTGGGAGTGATAAAACCCAAAATGTGTAATTGTCATTGTACAAAAGAGAGGAAAAGAAAGTGCTCTAAAGGACATAACTGCATGTATATTTAAGTGTATAAGATAGATAACCATATTACTGAGTTTTGTTGGATCATTGAACAGAACTGTTTGCGGTCTCACTGTTTGAATGTCTACTTTATATGCTTTAATTTTGTAACTTGAACAACTATTTCTAAGATGACAATATGTAATCTATTAACTAGTGATTTCCTACTGTTTATGTTTTCTGAAATTCTGTATAACTTGTACCCTTTTTGTTTTTTTTTCTTTTTCTCCTTAAATAAAACTTAAAAAAAAAATATGGCCCTTTTCCTAGGAATATTTGCCCTAAATATTTAAGAAACTCACAAACTTAATTTATTTTTTTTGTCTTTTTCCTTTTTATCAGTACCAGGGATGGAATTCACGACTGCCTGCTTTCAAGGCAGGCGCTTATGCCACTGAGCTAAATCCCCAGCCCCTATTTTATTTTTTGACACAGAGTCTTGCTTTGTAGCTCAGGTTGGTCTCAAATTTGTGGTCCTGTCACAGCCTCTGGGAGTATTGGAATTACAGGTATATGTCACCACATTCAATTTAAAGTCACGAGTTTTGAAGTTATGATTTCATTTCTATCAAAAGCACAAATCCAAATTTCCTGGTAAGGTGGCCAGATATGATCTCTAAATTATCACTGGTCAGGGCCAGACCTGCTTCCTTGAGTAATGTCCTTATAAGGAAATTTTCAATTAAAAATGAAAATATGCCAGATCAAAACCTGGGTGATTTAAAATAGCAATTAAAACCTTATAGTATCAGTTTTAATGTGTTATAACCATTCACTGGTTCAAATTCCAGGCTACAAACAATTTATATTTAACAAGATTTCTCTAAAAAATAAGCAATATAAGGGGCTGGGGATTTAGCTCAGCAGCATAAGCACCTACCTTGCAAGCAGGCGGTCATGAGTTCGATGCCCGGTACTGATAAAAAGACAAAAAAAAAAAAAAAAAAAAAAAGCAATATGCTAGTTTGACTGTAATGACTTAGGACACAAAATTAAACCAGATTTTCCATTTTTAATCTTCAGTATCACTTTTTAAGAACTGAATACTTTTTTTGAGACAGGGTCTCACTGTGTAGGTCAGGATGGCCTCAAACTCACAGTGATCCTTCGGCCTCAGCTTCCAGAGTGATAGGATTACAGGCATGCACCACCATATCCGGCCAACTATGAATATTTATGTTGTTGTTGTTTTGAGACAGGGTTTCTCTATGTGTTCTGGCTGGCCTTAAATTCACTTTGTAGCCCAGGCAGGTTTTGAACTCGAAAAGATCCTCTGGCCTCCCAAATGCTGAGATTACAGGCATGTGTCACCACACCCAGCTTATGAGAAGAGATCTTAAAGTATTTTCATTCTTGCCTGTGGCTGTGCTACAGCCCCTTGTCTCCATACCAGTATTATTTGTTTGTTTTGAGATAAGAGATTTGCTTCCCAAGGTTCATCTTGGAAGTCCGGGGCTCAAGTGATCCTCTTGCCTGAACCTTTTGTGTGCGTGCCTGGCTTCATGGATTGTTTTGACTCATCATATTATCTGTCCCAAAGTGGAGATACTGGAGCACTGCAGCCCCAAAGAACAGTGCCTCTACACAGAATAGGTCTCAAAGCTGGGCAATGCAGAACAGAGCTGTAACTCCAGCTACTGAGGAGACTAAGACAGAAAGGATTCCTTGAAGCCAAGAGTTCTGAGGCAACAGACTGGACAACATAGCAAGATGCTGCTGAAACAAAACAAAACCACCCCAATGTGGGAATCCCAGATGAAAATATTTAGGAAGAAAGAAGAATTCTCTCTGTCTCTCTCTCTCTCTTTTCTCTCTTCTTTTTATGAGATATTTGGTATGTAGTCCTGCCTTGGCCTCTGGAGAGGCAGTTTTATGCTTCGCTTCCCAGGGGAGGCATATTCTTCACACTTTATTACTTTTAAGAAGAGAGTTACAGGACAGTGCTGAATGAGCCATTTTAGTTTTATACAATGTATAATTATCCATTATTCTTTTTACCTGCATCTTAACAAGTTTTACCTATGTATTATCTGTATAATAAAAAGTTACCGAATTACAACCAAGAAAGCAGCTAACAGATACGACTGGCAATCTATTAATGGCCTCAGTTCAGAAATGATTATATTTCCGAACAACCTCCTAGGATTAAGACATAAAACTGACAAATGCATAACTTTGAAGAAAAGGAAAAACATTTCACTTTTCTAACACATTGACTCCCCTCACCTAAAAGTGTCCAACGTCTTCAAGGCCTAAAGTCCTCCATTAACTTTTGAGAAAATTTCTTAAGCTCATTCAGCAAAGGGAACACGGTATTAAAGCTTTAAGAAGCGTTAAGCCTTGGTGACAGCCTAAGAACATAAGGATGGACTTCATCGAGGACTTTCAGAGGCGATTTCCAGTGACCAGCCAACAAAGTCTCACTTTCCAAGCCAGTGCAAGCTCACTGGCTGGATCTAGTGGACATGACTGAAAAGTCATGTATAGTGGCTGGTACACTGCTGTCTACTCTGGCTCACGGTATCCTTTAAGCAACCCACGTATGACAGGCAAAGCACAGGATGTTTTATTGTTGTTGTCTTCTAGATCTTGTGGGTAGCTCTGCAACTCCTACTCCACTACATCCACTCAGAGGGACTCGCACCACAAACAGGTGTCAGTCTGGACCTTGCAGCTGTGTCCGGTGGTGACAGGCCTGTGCCAAGGGCGCCCCTCCGTGTTTACAGGGCCGAGAGGGGAGGGAGGGTGGGACCTGGCAGATCTACCCCGCCCTCGCCCAGTCCAAACGCCGCAGGGCTCTTCAGCATTCCCCAAGCCTCCCAGCCCTCTCTCCGGGAAGACACTCACCACCGCCGGGCAGTAGCGCAGTCCCTGTTGCCGAGACAACGCCGCGCAGAAAGTCGGGAACAGCCGAAGGGCGGCGACGCACAGCCGAGGCTACCCGAAGCTCCGGGCTTCGGAAAGAGCCGAGGGCCGTCGGCACTGCTCGGCTCACCTCCTGGCCGCAGCCCGGTCCAGAGAGAGCTGCTGGGCTGGAGAGCAGCCGGGCAAAGGAGAGTTCTCGCTGGGTGCTGGGGACAATTGTGGTCCAGGACTGGCAGCGTCTCTCGACTTGTCTCCCTTAACTCCTCGTGGGACAGCGGCCGTTATCTTGAGACTACCTCCTGCGTTGTCTCAAGGAGAAGGCACGACTGAGCGCTTTCCTGACGTCAAGAGGAGTCGGCGGGGGTAGGCCTTCGAGGCAGGCTTTAGGGCCGGCCGGTCCAGCCTGAAAATTGCCTTTCCGTCAGCAGACAGCACTGTGCAGCTCTTGAAAGGCGGACTAACAAGAGTCGCGAACCTCATGTGCATGTGGGACCCTGTTTTAGAAACATTACAGTTTCAGAAACACACCATCACCAGGATGAGGAAAAGTGACCACTGGCTACATTAGCTGGGGTATGTTTCTATTCAGTTGTACTCCCATACGAACTTGTCCCCCACCTGGGTTTGTGCGCGATTCCAGAAGCGGCGCTGAGGCGGCGTTTTCTTCTCACGCATCCGTCAACAAGGACGCAGCCAATCACAGCGCTCCTACTGACTCTATTGGCTATCGGTTCACCAATCCAAAGAGACGCACGGATCGCACGGACGCGAGGCCGACGTCACAACACGCCTTGCGACGCAAGCCCGCCTCCGAACCGGTGCGTGCGAGCACGCGCGGCAACCTCTGGCCAATGGCAGCGCCGCTGGGGGGGCGCGTTCTAAGGCTAGCTCAGGCGTGCTCGCTCCCGCGAGTGACGCCTGTCCCGCCCCGTCCCGCCCCGGCGTCGACTCCGTGTCCCCAGCGGCCGCCGTAGCCGGAACTGTGTTGAGAGCGGCGGGCTGGGGCTCCAAAGAGGAGCGGCGGCAGCAGCGGCGCCCGCAGTCCCGCGAGCCCCGCGCCGGCCTGCGGAACGGACCTGCCGGGCGAACGTCACTTGGCGACCGCGTCTCACGCCCTAACACCCGCCCGGCGGCGCAGCTTCGTGCAGGCGGCACTGCCTGACCCGGCCGGTTCTGCCGGCGCCTGTAGGGACCCGGGGATCCGGGGAGCCAGGCAGCTGCGAAGCGTGGATGAAAAAGGTGACGCCAGGCTGACTGATAGACGCAGGGTGCGCGGAGGTTGGTTCCGTGGGCGGGCACACAGCAATCAGTCTTTTCGGGAGTTGTAAGCTCGCCACCCGAGACAGGACAAAGGGTGTGGGGCCAGATCGAGACCCGCTGAGCCGGCGCCTCCCACCGTCAGGAAGTGACGGGGCTCGGTGCTGACTCCTGCCCAGGTCCCTGCCGCAGGGAATGGCCGGGCGCCATGGTCCCAGCGTATGTCGAGCATACTTTGTTGTGTCTGGGGGCTCTGCGTAGCTGTTGGGGTAGAATTGGCCCTGAGGGTGTACTTTACTACTCAGAAGCCACCGAGAGGCCTTGGACGACCTACGGCTTGAGCTGGGGATATGGAAATGGCTTGATAGGTGAGGAGTGAGAAGTCCTGTGCCTACAGAGGCCATTGGTGTGGTTGTGTGTTGGAATAGTTATGTTCTGTGGCCGCGCTTTATGAAACCAGCGTGGTGTTCCAACAGAGAAAAACTGCACACCATTTTGTGGCCTGCACATCAATCTTGATGTTCCTTTGGGTTTTGCCCACGTTCACGGTTTTCTGAGTGGTCTTTGACAGTGCTGCTGCTTTTAGGCGTCAGTGTTGTGCCTTCCCTTTTTCTTTTTAGTGGGAACGTTCCTCTTCCCAAGGTGTGGTAAACTTAATGTCCAAAGCCTATGAGAAATGGAATGTTTCTCAGTTTTTGCACTGTTCTGTCTGTGCTGGAAATGTCGGCATGTACCTGATTCTTAAGTTTATTTTGGGTGGCCATGCCCTCTGGGCTGCCAACGTTTTTGGCCAATGCATTTAATGGGACAGCGGGTAGCCGTTAATGCAACAGTTTTATTAATTGTTACCAAGAGCGTTTACACAATTTACTTTTTTCCACTGTTGCTATTGGACCAGGACAAAACTGTGCTGTCACTTTCCTGGTGTCTCCAACCTGTTTCACGCTACGACCTCCTTTGTTGCACTGGTGTTTGGCCAGCAAATCCCCGCAACGGCGTTAATACCTCTCTGGGGCAAAGACTCCCGGTAACGGTGCCTCTCACTGCAGGGCAGCCCTGGGGCAGGCAGCGCCCTGGCTATGGGTGGTGAAGACCTCGCGCAGGCTAGCGGGCGCGCCCTGGTCCTATGGGTGGGCCGGGCTTGGAGCGCCGTTGCTGGGCAGGTGCGCGGCTGGAGGCTCTTGTGTTGGGCGAAACCAGGCAGCGGAGGAAGGCCGGGAATTGGAAAAGGCACAAGCCAGGCCCTGAGCTAGGCCCAGTGGAGTGAGTGATGGGGGCGGTGAGACCCCATGGGACCAAGATTGGGCCTGGCCGGTTAGCCCGGGTTGGCGGGCCTGGGCAAGGAGCGTCCCGGCCGCGAGGCAGGGTGGACCAAGGTGCAGGCAGTTGCGGGTGGTCTGGGTCCGGTGTGGAGTGGGCCGAGGCAGGAGGGTTCTAGTCCAGCGCGGTGCGGGCCTGGCGGGCAGGCAGGCGGGCGGCGCTGGAACAAACAACGGCCGCCATGTTGAGGCCCGGCGGTAAACTTCTGCCTGGTGCCGCCTCACCGCCCCTCGCCCTCTCTCTGCTGCAGGATGACAGTGAAGTTGGGGGACACCGGCAGCGGGGAGGAAGGGCTTAAGAAACTGGGCAAGAGATCAGCCGATGAGGAGTCCCTGGAAGGAGAGGGGGCCGGCGGCACAGACGCGGCCGAGGACGGCAGTGGCACAAAGAGGGACGAACCGACCTCTCGGGCCGAGGGCGCCCCCGCAGCCCCCGGAGGGCCACAAGCGCCATCCCCACCACAGGGCAGCCCCCAGGACCAGCACCACTTTCTCAGGTCCAGCGTGCGGCCACAGAGCAAGAGGCCCAGAAAGGACGTGTCCTGCGTGGTGGGCAGTGGCCCCAGTAGCTCTGGACCTCGAGTAAAAGGTAGGTGATTTAGTTGCCCAAATGTGGCCCACTGCAGGGAGCCCCCTTTCTCCCAGCCCACCTACCCACCTGCCAGTGGTGGGATTCCTTTATTATACTTTGGAGGAGCATGTGTCTCCCCTTTCCTCCCAGAAGCTTGTTAACTTTTATACTATGCGAAGGGGTGGTGAGTACCTTTTGGGCAAGTGAAACATTTCCAAAGAACTATTGACCATTTTCTTTGGTGTTTGAAAATGCAAACAGTAGTTGAGAAATGGGAAAAGAAAAACTGTGTGCTGTATCTCCTTTCCAGATGCCAAGTGGTGGGAATGCAACAAAGAAACTGGCTTTTCACACTCATTGGGGGAAGACTGATAAGATGCCCAAAGTGAATGATGCCAGGGCTGATTTTGGCTTATTGTCTTCTTCTCAAGTGTACCTGGCTTGAAAATATGAATGGTAAAGAGATGGTACCCTTAAGACATTGAGTTGAGGTTTAGTCAGTACTGCAGAAAGGATTTTCCCTTGGTTGGTAGATGGTGAAAAGAACTGTGGTCTGGTATCAACCAGCAATACTCTGTGGGCTTTGTCCTTGGGTTCTGATGGTGTTGAGACTATTACTGCCTCACTGGGGCCCTTACTGAAGTAGTAAAGCAAATGTCCTTTTTGTTCTCCATGTGCTCATACTTCCTTCTTGTTTGCTTTTATCTATGTATATTTCAGCATTGTACTTTTTCTTACCTTTGCAGGTGATTGGCCTAACATTCTTGTTTCAGACAAAGTTTGCAACATTTTTATACATATCAAACATAACAAGACTTTCCAGTGAACTTTGCATGAAAAAAATGACTTTCAGTTCTTTTAGAAATATTAGTTTAAATTTATTAAATGGTCCTGGTAGGTTTTTTTTTGTTGTTGTTGTTTTTTTTTTTTTTTTTTTTTTTTTTTTTTTTTTGCGGTACCAGGGATTGAACTCAGGACCTTGTGCTTGCCAGGCAGGCGCTTATGCCTCTGAGCTAAATCCCCTGCCCTGTTTATGTATTTTTGAGACAGGGTCTCACAATGTAGTTTAGGTTGGTTTTGAACTCACTATGTTATCCAGGTTAGCCTTGAACTCAAGGCAACCCTTATGCTTTAGCTTTCCAAATGCTGGGATTACAGATGTGTGTCTCATGCCTGACTGTTTTTAAAAGAAAATATTTTAAGAGCTAACAGAGAACCAGTTTTGTAGCTCTGCTCCACGTATGTCCCATTAAATTTATTTCTCCTGCCTCATTCTCAACTGAAGAGGGCCAGCCTCTGGACTTACGGTGCTACTAATTAATAAATTTTGTTTAAGTATATGTAAACATAAGTATAAGGAAATGCATGTTTCAGAAATTGAAACTTGCTGGGACTACATAGCAAGACTCTATCTCAAAAAAAAAAAAGAAACAATATTTGCTCATGCAAATTATTTTGCATGCAAGTTAATTTTGGTGTGAAAATTGCTCATTGGTTAGGAAAACATTAGTTAGCTTTACTGGCCTTGGTTATTTTCTAAAAAGTACCTTTTCACTGCTAGTTACAGGTGGGCCCAAGTTCTCTAGGTATGTGTTTTGCTTTTGAAAGCTTTTTGGGGCCTTTGTTAGTTGTTGCTACTTTCAGAAGTTCTGGGCTTGGAGTCTCATTGGCATCTATAGTCCCATTTCCCTGGCCCACTGACCTCACTCTACTCATTTGACCTTGCAAATTTGTTTTTTTTTTTTTTTCAGTGAGATGTTTCCAACTATGAAAAAGGAAGAGTAGCAGGTGTTGTGCACTCTTGAAGTATGGCTGCTGGGATGGAATGAAGTGTACTTGTACAGGACTCCCTGTGTGTAAAGTGAAGGACTGAAACCTTAGTGTCTAGATGGATTGGTGCAATACAGCAATGCAGTGATGAGGAGAGGTTTGCTCTTGTTCTTGGAGTTGAGTGGTTCACCCCAGAGAGGCTTGCTAGTTAACCTTTTGCTTGACTCATTGGTGCTTCTGTTTCAGGTTTTTTTCCCCAGTGTGTGACTTAGAGCAGAGATTAACTTAATTCTGTTTTTATATTAGCAAATGAAAAATTTATTAGAAGTTGTGTTTCTTGGGATTTTTTCATTTTGCTATTTTAGTGAGCAAATACTTCTTAAGTTAGTAACAAATCTTAAGTTGTCACCATGCTTATAAGAGTGGGAAATATATCTCCTTTGCATTCAGAACTTCTCAACCAGTGTCAGTATTAAGTTTTGTGCTAAGGTCTCCTTTTGGTTGTTCTTAGTTCACAAGTTCCTTAAACTGTACAAATTTTCACCATGCCCTAAATGTGCCACATCAAGCTTCAGGGAGTTCATTGCTTGGTTACCATTTTCATCAGCCATTAAATGGCCAGGTATAAAAGTGTCCTTCATGCACACTGTCCAGCCAACCTTTGGAAAACGTTCTTTGGAGAAACATTTCCTTAAGGACTGGAAATCTCCACCTAGGGTAGTGACCAGGGGTCGACAGGAAATGAGCAATACTTGGATTTTTAACTTTTTCACATGGAAAAAAATGTAACTTCCATGTATGCAAGGAAAGGTCACAGTTAAGCAGTTGGCAGCTTTGGTTGCTTACTTCCTGTCCTGCCAATTTCAGTCCTAATGAGCATTTGGAATAAAGGACTTGTGGAGAAGATGAAGGTTCCCCTTGTTGAGCTTTCTTCACACAACTCTGGTTTCTTTTTCTAGGTCTGTAAGAATAAGGTTTTCCATTGACTTCAATGAAAAACTTTTTTTTTTTTTTTTTTTGGTAGCTTGATTCTAGATATTTTCTGAATTGATAAAGTGACTGTAGTTAAGACTTAGTGTCAGTATGCCAGGCATTTTTACATCCTTATAACTGCTTTTGAATGGAGAAGAAAGTAAAAGTTTGTGTTTAAATTTCATGCTCAACCTAAACAGGGTAAGCTGCAAACCAGAAGTCAGTTGATCAGTTTGATTCTTCTAACAATCCTACACTGCCAAAGGATGCATTTGAGATCAAGCTTGAAATTTCAGAGACTGTAACTTAGAATTTCAAAGCCCAAGAACCTTGGTCCAGAGCTGGAAGTTCTTTGGCTTCCCTCCTGGTCTGGCTGACCATGGGCAAACTGATCTCTTTTTTCAGAGCCTTAATTTCTTTGCCTATAAGTAGTGATAAGTAGGATATGAGCTTCTGTGTAATATTTGGCTTTGTAGCATCTACTTTTTTTTTTTTTTTTTTTTTTTTTTTTGGTACTGGGAATCACACTCAGAACCTTGTACTTGCCAGGCAGGCATTTGTGCTGCTGAACTATGTCCCTCGCTGCTTCTACATGTTTGTAAAAGATACTCTTCAGTCAGTTTTGGGAACACTGGTACTATACTGAAAAGAGGTTTGCATCAGGAGTCAGGGGATCTGGCTTTTATCCTAGAACTGCCACATAGCTGGTTCACTTGTGTGGCAAAGGGAAAGTTGTTAAATATGCCTGAACTCTAGGTTATTTATTTTTAAAATGAGTCAGGAAATCTTATCGCTGAGAGCTGCACTTACCTTAACATTCAAGGATTAATGGTACAGGAGCCTTGGATTCCATGTGTTCTTAAGACAACATCCCAGAAGGTAGATTTGCTAAAATGTTTTGATGTGTGACAGGCAGTCTGCCTACCCTTGGCCCAGGCAAGGAGGCTGCCCTCCTCTGTCCAGATGGGTGATTGTACATGGCTTCTCCTTCTTTTCCAACGCTTGCTTTTATTGGCTCTTTATCAGGTGCTTGTGCGAGGCGGGGCTGGCTGGGGAGGTACTAAAGTACATGCAGCTTTGTCCTTTGAAGGAAAGACCTATCAAATCGCAGGATCACTATAGATCATCACGAGAGCATTGTGATTCCTCTGCCCAGTTTAATCTGGTAAATGATGTTTACTGAATTTAGACATAGTGAGGTCCCAGTAGAGTCTGCTATGGCCTTACTCCTGGGCAGTGACACCAAGCTGGGATGAAAGCTCTCAGATCTGTATCAGAAAGGGAATGAAGAAATGGGGACTCTGCCTTACTCATATTTACTCCTTGTGATGCTGAGGACTTTAGAGGACATAGCCACTGAAGCATATGATCCTGTTCTAGGACACAGACCACCTGTGTTCAGGCTACTTCCCCAGGTGATCATGATGTCACTGCGCAGAATGAAGAGGAAAATATCTGTATAAAAACTTTTTGATAAATTATGAAGCTCAAAATAATAAAAGTTGCATTTGCTTACATTTATTAATTTGAAAACTTAGCTAATTTTCAAATACAATTTTTTAAAAGTTAAAATGAATGCAGTTTCTATGGTGGCTTACTGTGACTGTGGAATTGTCTTTTGGCAATGAAGTATACTTTAGGATTCTAATTTTTGTTTCATTTTGGGTCGTATAGAGACATAAACAATAAATGATTTCTATAGTAAAGCCATAAACTGAAATTTAGTGTTGTCCTATATAGTGGTACATAGAAGCATTTTGTCATATCGGGGAACCACAGTGTTTCTAGCACTAAAGAACTGTGAAAGATATCAAGGGAAGAAACCAAGTTCCTAAGAGCTTTTGGTTTCAAAGAGATAACAAAGCTTTCCTGTAGAAAACAATCAGAATATTTTCATAATACTACATAGGTGTTTTTAGACAAATATTTTAGCTGTGTTTTTCTTAAATATTTGGTGAGTTGGGAGGATCTTCGAGGGAGGCTGGTCTTGGTCTGAACTTGTCAGAGGATGCTGAGCCTTGCAGGTGCCAAGGACAGGAGGTCCAATGGAAAGAAGTCATTCTCATTGAGACAATGTGAATGGCCCTGGAATGAGAACCTGGGACTCTGGGTTCTCTTCAGACAATGGGGAGAACGTCTTTTAGGCACACTGGAGAATATGAATAGCATCTCCAAGGACAAGTTGATCAGTGAACATTGGGAGGGATCCGTGTTCATTTACTGAGCACCTGCCATGGGAAACAAGCAGCAGTGCTGTGAGTGAATGACAGTGGAGT